TTTTTTTTTTTTTTTTTTTTTTTTTTTGCATGTATTCATAAATTTGAGCCATGATTCCTACGTTCTTGAAGTTCCAATGGCAAAACCATATATCAGAAGTTCTTCAATTAGAATTGGATCCCGTCCAATGTGGATTTTCTGATTTGTCTTTCTTTTTGAAATGCTAGCCAATCGGTACACGTGGATATGCGGCCCCAGAATACGTCGAGACTGGCCATTTGTCAGTAAAGAGTGACATTTGGAGCTTCGGTGTGGTCCTATACGAGATACTAACAGGAAGGCGTACATTGGAAAGACATCTCCCATTGTCTGAGAGAAAGCTACTGGAATGGGTAAAGTTGTTCCCAGCCGATAGCAAGAGGTTTAGCACGATTATCGATCCACGCCTCCATAACCAATATTCCTTAACTGCCGCCCGGAGGATTGCGAAATTGGCTGACATGTGCTTGAACAGAAACCCTAAAGATCGGCCTACAATGACTCAAGTGATGGAGATCTTGAAGCAAGCAATGGAAGACTCCAAAGAATTTTCTCGTTCTTCGTCATTGACAACAAATTACTCAAATGAAATATTAGCAGCTTCCCGACACCTACCCCAGATGGCACAGGCAAGTTCCTCGAAGAATTGCTCAGGTTTTGAATTTGGAAGGGCTCTCCTTCTCGACTAACCATCCCCTTTTCTTTTATTGAAAAATATGACAGGCTTGAATATGTGATGGATAGTTGCCCGATGAAGTTTAGCAACTTGGAAATTGTGCTCGTCTTCATGTACATATGAGAATCTTTAGAATACCTCTGGATCCAATGTTTGTTACCACTCTGTGGACATGATTTCGTATATCTGTTGTGAAGAACTATAATTGACACTAGGAAGAAGAGGGTGTGGAGAAAATTTTAGTGTAATTTTGATGCGGTCGTGGTCAAGGGAGAGATGGTGGTTATCATTAGTCTTGTGTTGACAAAGATGCCAAAGCAACTTCTATCTCTATTGTAACTTGTTTCATTAATATAAAGCTGTGAAGTTGTTATGTTTCCTGATCTGAGATACCAATTTTGCTTACTGAGTAATGATGTAGATTATTTGCTTTATATAAAGGTGTGTAATACTCACATTGGGGAGGTTGGCACTCATTGGGTTTGCTCAAAAGTTCGAAAATTTTGGTTAGTGTTCATTATTGCAGGGAAGATTCGATCCTACACACACCTGTAATTTTCACCGTTGGATCAACACATACACATACCCGGTGTGCGCACTGCAACTGTGTATAGGGTCGAATCTACCATTACTGCAGATCAAGCCACAATTTAATTTAACTCTTCTCAAGATTTAGGAATATGAAAAATTTATCATATTCACACCTAAACACATTGACAATACCAATTAACTGGGATATAACTGCTTTTATCATGTATTGTCAAGAGCTGGTGTATTTTTAGATGTGTACTTACTATATATATTATAAAAACTGTGTCCATTTTCTCCTTTTAATGTAATATTACATTCAGATACTATACAAATGTAACAAACTATTTGTATAATGAATGATCTCTTATTACACAAGGGCAGCATCAGCATCAGCAGCTTCACTCACACTCACTTCCCTGCCTGAACCACCCGTCTGCCCGACGAACCTGACGTACAGGTCCGTCCCCATCCTGTCCTCCGCCGGGCAGCAGGCCCCTGCCCTGCCCGACATGCTCCTCACGAACTCCACGAAATTCCTCCAGTTGTTTGCCTCGAACAGCCGCCTGTTCATCCTCAGGTACGTGAACCCACACATCATCCCCCCTCCCTCCGCCACCCTGGCAAA